ATAATTTCAAAATAAATATTTTTATTAATAGAAAGAATATTTGTTATTATATGCGGAAAGAATTGGTATTAGAGATAACGTGAAACTCAGACACGAGTTAATCGGTTGCCAACAAAACACTGATTACGACTCGACGGGCCGATGGAGGCTAACGGTGCGCGACATCGACAACGACCGGGTGTTTAACGACGTGGTCTGCGGTGTAATGCTGTGCACCGGAAACTACAACAACCCATCGATGCCTACATTTCAAAATCAACACCTATTTAAGGGCCGAGTATTGCATTCGCATGCGTTTAAAAATAGCACCGGCTTTGAGGGCCAGCGGGTGGTTGTGGTGGGCGTCGGGAATTCCGGGGCCGATATCGGGGTTGAGTTGTCTAATGTGTGTAAAAATGTTAGTAATTTTTATATTCTACATTATTTTTAATTTTTTTTAACTTATTTTAAATAGTTTATCAAACTGTACTAGATTAATTTTAAATCTATTCCCACAGTTATACTGCAGGTATGAAAAATTATTGGTTAAGTCTCTGCCCTACAAAGAATTTCAATTTTAAAATTATATTTTATTATGTTTATAAACCACCATGATAATTTGAACTTATCAAAAATAAGATTTCAAAAATAATTAGTTTATAATTTATTAATTTTTTTTATGTAGATTGTTTATACGGTATATGGCAAATAAATGAAGTGAAATAATATTATTGTTTAAATTAAAATTTCCATAGTACATAAATGTAATACATAATGTACATTCTCAAAAAACTGTAAACAAATAATTTACAATATTTAAATAATACATATAAAATAGTTGAAAGTTATTTCATTGGCACTCTTTATATAAGCTTATGATCAGAGCATTGCATTATAGGTGAATATAAGACCCCCAATAGTCACTATAATAGTCACTAAAAACAGTCCAAATAGTTACTTAAATAGTTACTTATAATTTGACAAAATAGGCTTAAAAATTATATAAAATGGTACAAAATGCCAGTTTCACTCTTTAATACATTGAATATAGCTGTTTTTAAGTTAAATCACTTGTATTAACTGTTTTTAAGAATATTTTAATTATTTTGGTCAAAACCCTGAATACTTACAACTTATAATTTTGGTCATACCATCGTTTAGAATGATAAATTACTGCAATATTTTATAAAAACCTTTAAATTTGTCATAGTTTACTCTATTTAATTTTTTTGCTAACTAACAAATGTAAATTAAGTTGTGTTTTTCTTTGTGTTTTATACTAAAATATACCAAAAAAATTGAAAAATGTGTCAAATAGTTACTTATTAGGTAATAAACGTTCAAATAGTTACAAACGACTCAAATAGTTAAATATAGGTAAAATAAACTTTCGGCAAACTGACCCCCAATACATGATCGGTTCACATCCCGAGTCCGGGGGTAATGCTATTAACCGCTAAAAATAGGTGGTATAGGTAAATGCAATTCCCTGCTTATGATATAATTTTGCAAAATATTAAAAATACAATCTAAACATATTCGTACACATTTTAACCAGGTTTATATGTGCGCGCGAGAGGGCAGTTGGGTGATCGGTCGTGTGGGCCCCGGGGGTCGACCATTTGACTCGTTTCTATTACGGCGATCGCTGTATACGCTTTACAATGTAATGCCGTATAGGATGTCGTGTTGGGCACTGGAAAAATACCTAAACCTACGCTTCAATCACCAGTTATACGCACTTAAGCCCAAACACCGGGTGCTCTCACAACACATTGTGGTTAACGACGAGTTGGGCAAAAAGATTATCGCCGGTCAGTGTATAGTAAAGCCTAACATACAGGAGTTTACGGAAAACGGGGTTATATTTATCGGTAAAACTACCTTGCTACATTACTGTATATGAATATTTAATGTATGTAAAAACTACTTTACAGGCGACACACATGAAACTTTATGCGATACCGTAGTGATGGCCACCGGATACAAACTCTGGTACCCATTCCTACCGTCAGCCCTACAGTCCCTGTGCGACAGTAAAGCCCACTTTCAACTATACAAACACATGTATTACCCGCACAGTAAACACCCGCAAACACTAGCCTTTATCGGCGCAATCGTACCCCTCGGAGCGCTGTTACCGGTGGCCGAACTCCAGTGCCGGTACGCGAGCCTAGTGTTGGCCGAACGGCTATCCCTGCCCTCTGCCGCCAAAATGGTGACCGATATTAGCCGTCAAACAGTTCGGGTCGGTCGCCGGTTTCCCGACGCGGAAAAGTTTGCTCTTCACGTACACTATGTTGAGTATATGGAAGAGATGGCCCGTCTAGTGGGTGCTAAACCCCGCTTATGGAAGTACGTGTGCACCGATCCTAAACTCTGGTGGAGCCTGTATTTCGGTCCCTGTGTTCCCTATCAGTATCGACTGAATGGTATATTTATTTATCATGTTGTTTATATTTTTAATTAATTATTTATTTGATAATTTCTTTATGATTACCAATAAATATCTGTACTTTTGTTTTATACATGTATTGTATTTTAGGGCCCAATTTGTGGCCAAATGCCAGGGAAACGATTCTAACGGTTAATAAACGGATTGAAACCCCTTTCCGGACACGTTATGGACCGAAATAAAAGCTCTTTAATAATTATAATTTAAATATAATAATTGCGATTTTGTAAAAATAATATTAATTAGAAAATTAAATTTGAGCATTTTTAATTTCAAATAACTTGTTAGAAACTGTAAATTATAATTGATTACAAATTGTTATGTTTAGATTTAAATCAAATAACAATATTTTGGTTACCTGTAAAGTGGTTTGTTGTTTACAATAAATTATTTTTCACAAAATAGTTAATTTGTTAACTAAAATAATATATAATATATATAAATCATATTATGATTTCAATTTATTTTAAATGATTGTGGTTAAAACTATTTATGTTGTAATAAAATTAATTTTAATATTAGGAATATAATAAAAAGTTGTGATTAAAGAAATATATTTGTAACTTGAGCAATTTGTTTATAGTACAAACTGTAAATTATAAATCGAATATGAATTAATATGGTTATTTTCTTACTGTTTAAACAGTCTATTGGTTAAACAAAATGATAGGAATATATTTTTTAATTAAATGCATCTTTAATTTAAAAAAATACTTAACAAACTAATTAATCTAATGCATATTATTTCAACTTATTTAAATTAATTGTGCATGATCATGGTTGTTGAGAGCGGCGGTAGCTCCGGGCCGATATTGGATAAAGATGTCTAATTTAACATAATATTTAATCTAACATTTTAATATATCTCGTATATCAGTTATATTGTAGCAATTAATAACCAAGTTTGATTATATATTACTGATTGTGGATAATAGACATGATTATAAATAGAATACTTTAGAGATTTGTTAATTTCAAATAAATACAAGCTGTAATCGATATATTCAACACTATTGAAGGTGATTATATAGTTGTATAATAACTAGTTATTTGGCAAAAATGAGTGAATTATCAGGATCCTATAAATACATTTTTCGAATGATTTGTGATTAAAAATAAAATTATAAATAAATATATTTTGTGATTTTGGACACTAATTTACTTAATATAATTTAAAAATTTTAAATTATAAATGTAATATGAAGTAATATGGTATGAGTAATATGTAATCATTGCATTTTACAAACTCTAACCAAAAAATTATAGTGGGCCCCGCGAGTCAATCATTTGACTCATTTCTATTGCTTGGTTATATTTTACTAAATAACTATTTTTATGGTAATACCTATCACTCAAAAACAATTTTAATTTAAATATATTTTTAATGTTCACAAAACAATTTATTAGTTATCTATTTTAATCTATGTTATTTTATTTTAATTGTTTATAAACTGTAATATGTGAATGTTTCTCATTTTCCACATTATTATATGAATTATAAAAATATTTATTTGTATTACTCAGTACTTGTACGTTTATTGTACAGTACATTTAAATTAATTCTAAATATATTTTTATAAGACATACATATTTGGTCATTTTATTTTAGTGTTAATAGAAAGATGCTTCTCAACTGTAATTGGGCAATTTAAATTTTTTCATCCGGGTTTACTACAGGTTGGGTTAAATATTATTTGTAATTGTAATTGATAAATAATTTTTTAAAATAAAAATATTATGTTTGTAAAACATTAATTAATAAAATGAATGTATCATGTATATAGAGGTTATTATTAAAAGTGTGTTGTGCATCAATTATAAAATGTATTATTCTTTACTTATAATAATTATGGTAAATACAAACTAGTGTTTTATTTATTTCTTTGTCTATAATATTTATAAACTGTAATAAGAAATTTTTGAATATTAACACCAAGTTTTACTATAGACAAAAATTTTTATTTGGCAACTAATGGTAATCACACTTTATAATATACTTTAAACATATAACTTTAGTATAGATGCAATATAATTATTACCTAAATAAATTAGCATTTCACACATCGTTATATTTATAAATTTGGTTAATCTTTAATAAAAATAATAGTACCCAATACTCATAAATATTTATTTCAACATTTAAGCACATCTCCACAAAACTATTTTTTAATTTATTGTACTTATTGTATGTTGTATATTGACTATAACTAGATAATTTTAAATATTTCACCCAAGTATATTGCATACACATAATAGTATTGGTCCATATCACTAAACAATTGGAATTTTATTTACTATTTTTTATATTGTTTACAAACTGTAAATAACGACAAACAAACAGATTCTATATATTTTTCACATTATTATTAAAATGATAAAATTATATACTATGAACACTAAAACGCGCAGGGGCCACTTATGGGCCACTTTTGTATAGTGAGGTTATACTTGAGTTATAGCATGACTAATGCTATCAAATATGAATCTGTCTATAAATCGCTATATTTATAACTCATACAGTGTTGACTATTTACTATTACATTTCAACA